GAATTTGATGTGAAAGCAGATGACCTCGACATCCCAGAACAAGCCCTGGGCGGCAGCCATGGAGCACTTTCCCCAGTGCATCTGAATAAGGTGTTGCTCAGACCTGAAGGCTGGGAGGGTTTATTTACAGTTGCATCGATTCTCTGTCAAAACCGATGAGGGGTTTGCCTGGGTGGGTGCATGCTGGGAGCCAGCGAGTGCCTGCCCTGCTTTACCTCCCCTTCACTGGAGAAAACGGGGGCCAGGCGAGCCTTGCCATGCCCACGGGTGCACACAAAGGAGTCGGGGAAAGCTCAGCTGCAGCGGGGCAGAGGCAGTGCCGTGCTGAGCACTGCTGAGCTGCCGGCGGGTCCTCGCACCACCACGCAGCCAGAGAAGGGAGTGGGAGCTGCACCAAGGAGAGGCTCTGCCCGTGGCTGCGTGGGGCTGCGGAGGGAGCAGGCAGCTTGGGCATCTCCTCCCAGCTCAGCAGCGATGTTTATGACAGGGCTTAGTTTGAGATGTAAATGTGCAGCCCCACCAGAGGGGACCAGCAGTGCTTGGAGGATGCAGGAGCAGCCGGGAACCAAACCGTCCCCGGGAACCAAGGGCAGTGTTTGGGGTCGCTGACAGCCCCATGCTGAGCGGTGCCCAAGCGGCTTCTGGGCTGCTGCTGTGCCAGCCCCGTGCAGCGTGTCCAGCAGCGCTCCTGCCAGTGCAAAGGGGTTTGAAGGTTTCCTGGCTTGTGTCTCCCCAGGAACCTTCCGAGGAGTGTGCAAGAAAATCGACCACTTCCCCGAGGATGCAGATTATGAGCAAGACACGGCTGAGTATCTCCTCCGTGAGTCTACTTTCCCATGGCGCGGTGGAGCTGTGCACGCTCCCTGAGCACACCCTTGCCCCACGCTGCGCTGGCACCCCCCTCCCCATCCACCAGCACTCAGAGCTTCACCCAGCAGGTCCCCCCACTGCTGGCAGGTGGCCGATGGGTTGCAGCCCCCCAAGCTCCCTGTGGAGCAGCGGTGACCCTCCGGGTTATCCGAGCGTGGCCATGTCACACTGCAGTAGCAGTGTTAATGGCGCATTTGTCTGGCACTCGCTGTCCCCATGGCTGGTCCCGGCAGCTGCTGTGCAGCCCGAGCTTGTTGGGGCACGAGGGCCGCCGGGGACTGGGACCCCGCGGGTCCCTGGTGCGGCACCACAGGGGTGCCGTGTTCTTGCCAGTCTCCCTGTTCCCTGAGTCTCTGCAGCCAGGCTGGATTTGCTGGTGCTCGCCGGGAGAGCGCAACGAGCGTCTGCCGCACGCTCTGCCAGCAGCAGCCGAGTGCAGGGAGATGGAGTGAAAATAGAGCTGGCGGCTCTCCTGGGAAAAGCGGAGTCCTCCTGCTCTCGGGGGCCAGCAGAGCCTCTGGGCAGGACCCAGAGGGTTTTTACGTGGGGGGACCTGCCGCTGGGGTGAGGCTGACCCTGCGGAGAAGAGGCACCATCCCATGAGCACTTTGCAGACACGTGCACGAGCGAGTGCTGGGGCACCGAGGCGCAGGTTGACAGATACTGGACACAAATGACGCACACCCTGACGTGCAGAGCAACACAGACGTGCACCGCCCGGCATGTCAGCAAACATGCACGTGTGTGACAGACTGCGAAGCCCACACGGCAAAAGGTTCATTTGAACACCTAAGTTTCCAGACAAGAACATAAGGCAGCAGGAGCACATGGCAGCCTCGGAGGCATTGGCATCTCTGGCTCTGAGCTGCTGGGGCTGGGAGGAATCCCCGGGGGTGAGGTGACCCCCATCGCCCTGTGCTCAGCCCCGATCCCCGGGGCCAGGCTGCTGCCCCTGCCTGATGCTGCTGCTGCTCGTCCAGATGTTGCTCTGAACTCCCCATTTTCTAACTCTGCAGGGAGCCATCAGCTCTGCTCACCCATCTAAGAGGGGAACGTGTTTAATGGAATTGGTTTGCAATTTTAGTAGATTAGCGTTTAAGTTCTTCTCCCACCCCCTCCCACATTTAAAACAAAAAGTCTATTTTAAAGCCCCCAGAATGGCATTTTAATGGGGCTTCTCTGTATTTCTGTGCTCTTAATAAAGGCCCTAATAGAGGGATGAGAGCCCAAACCAAGGCACAGTGCATTTTCAGTGCAGCAGGTAGTGATTTGCTGCATTAATTACTCTTTACTGTCATTTTGGGAGCTGAACTTCCGATAGGCCATGTAGAAAAGACCCTTCTTTGTGTAGCTCTTGGCCAGTGACTCCTGAGCAGGCCGAGACAGGCCCTGCCAGAGCTAATCCCCTTGGGGATGGAGCCCAGCGCCAGGGTCATGGTATCACACCTGGTGGGCTCGGGGTCTTGGGCTTTGTGTTCATTTTGATAATGTTCCTCCCCTACATCAGCAAACAAGTCTTTTGTTGAACTTTAGGTGTGTTAGTCAGTAAATTCTTGGCTTCCAAAGCAGCTGCGATAGTTTGGGGACCCAAGGGACAGGTTTCTGACCCTCGTGGTTGGCAGTACTGTTCCTTGCCAGCCTGGTGAGATCTGGGGGGTTTCTGCAATCCCTAGGCTCCAGAGTCACGTCCATAGCCTAAACCCATGGGTGGTGTGTTTGGTAATGGGAAGGTAAATTGCTAGTTCTGACTGTGTGACAAGACTGGAAAAAATAATTCCTTGAAATAGCCTCGGAGGAAAACAAAGAAATTCAGGGTTTAAACTATTTTTGTGATGGGAGGCCTGAACCACAGGGTTTGCAGGGCTGATGCTGGGCTCCAGAGCAAGCTCGGAGCAGAGCAGCTTGGGGACAAGCAGAGGATGCACAGGGGGGACTGGTGCTGGGTCTCCCCCCATCCCTCGTGGCAGCAAGCCAGCGTGGCGTTGCAACAGTTCTTTCCGGGTGCTGGCGCTGGTGCGGGAGATGCCGGCAGCCCCCGCTGCAGGAGCAATGCCGGGAGCCGACCCTGCCCTGCTCCCTGTCCTACAGGTGCAGTGAGAGCATCCAGCATCTTCCCCATCCTCAGCGTGGGTCTGCTGTTCTTTGGGGGCCTATGCGTGGCGGCCAGCGAGTTCTACAAGAGCAAACACAACGTCATCCTCAGCGCCGGCATCTTCTTCGTCTCTGCAGGTAGGAGCTGCCCAGCGGGGTTGGGAGTGGGGCAGCTCTCCCGGTGTGGAAGTGTGGGAGGACACGGGGGAGATGGAGACAGGCTGTGGGTCCTCCCAGGCCGTCGGCACAGGGGGATTCTGGGGTTCGTGAGCTGTCCCGTCCTGGTGGAAAAATCCTCGTGGCAGGGAAAAAACAGCAGAGGTTTCTGGCAAGTGGTCACCGTGCTAGGCAGCACTTTAAGCATCTGCCCTGCTCTGCCCCGAGCAGTCTCCGTGCGGACGCTGCAGGCCAGAGGGGCTACTGGAGCGCAGGCATCCCGCTGGGGGAGCACCCAGCCCTGGGGCAGGTTCTGGGGGGCTCTGCCCTCCATCACTGCCAAGCAGCAGGTTGCAGGGCCAGGCAAGGGCCGGCGCTGTGCTGGCAGCACCAGGGACGGGGCAGCAGGCAGAGGGGCTGCTGCAGTACTACAACGAAAATCATTCTCTTGAGAGGCTGTTCCTTCTGGATTACTCATTTCTCCGTGCACTGTTCCCCAACACTTCCACTGATTATCGTATGACAATGTTTTTGTCTCAAGGAACTGCTCTATTTTGTGTTTTTCTTCTCCCCACAAAGAGGCAAATTACTCTCCCTCCTTCGGCTGGCAGGAGCTGCTGATGCAGATGAGAAAACAACAGAAAGAACATAATCGATTCATTAAGTAAATCCAGGAATACACCAGCCGCTCCCCAGCCCCGAGGCACAGCCCCACAGCGCTGCTGGTGGTGCAAAAACTGCCCAGATCCCAAATAAAGCCTCCAGACTCCACCAGAAATGAAAAGAGACAGAGCCGTTCCCGCTTCCCTGCACTCCCAGGGCCGCGGCAAGCCGGGGTTTGTGCCGGAGGGATCCCCTCCGTGCCAGGTGGGTTGGCTCTGCTCCGGCCACAGCCCCGACACCAGCTAGGCTCCTGCAGTCCATCGCTTAGTGAGCAGCTCTGCAAAGCAAAACCAGCTCTTCAAATGTCCCTTTTCTAAACAAAACAGTGGTTGTTCCTCCTGCTCCTTCAGTATACATGAATATACATATATACTGGGTGCATGTGAATATAGATGTATACTGGGGACAGCAGCAGAGGTCTGTGAGGGGTTTTGGCCCCGGTGTGCTGGCAGGTGGGTTGGTGCCCCATGGGGATGTGGCCGTGGCCCCCAGCACCCTCCCTGCCTGCCAGGCACCCCACAGGTCGTGGTGGGCAGGAGAAGGGAGCCTGTGTCCCTCCGCTGCCGGGAGGGGATTGGGGTGCTGCTGTCCTCCGTCCGCCCCCTGCCACTCAAGTGAGCGCCTCTCCCTCTCGTCCTCCCCTAAAGGTCTCAGCAACATCATCGGGATTATAGTCTACATCTCGGCCAACGCGGGGGACCCAGGGCAGAGCGACTCCAAGAAGAGCTACTCCTACGGCTGGTCCTTCTACTTCGGAGCCCTGTCCTTCATCATCGCCGAGATGGTGGGGGTGATTGCTGTGCACATGTACATCGAGAAGCACCGCCAGATCCGCGCCAGGTCCCACTCGGAGCTGCTGAAGAAGTCGGCCTTCACCCGCCTCCCGCCCTACAGGTCCCGCTTCCGCCGGCGGTCCAGCTCCCGCTCCACCGAGCCCCGGTCCCGGGACATGTCGCCCATCAGCAAGGGGTTCAGCACCATCCCCTCCACCGACATCTCCATGTTCACCCTCTCCAGGGATCCCTCCAAGGTCACCATGGGGACGCTGCTCAACTCGGAGCGGGACCACGGTTTTTTACAGGTCCATAACTCCATCCCCAAAGAGTTCAAGGAGTCTTTGCACAACAACCCGGCCAACAGACGAACCACGCCGGTCTGAGGCGGGCAGGGGCATTTTGTCAGGCTGCATGACATCATCCTCGTGACGGTGTAACCCGTGAAATCCCGTTTTTAAGGACAAACCCAGATGGCTCCCCGTGCCCCTACCCGCGGGGCTGGTTTTTCACTCCCAAAATGCCACTGGCCAGGCCAGGCCACTGTGCCCATGGTGGGACCGGGACCCCTGCGCCCCTCCCTCCCCGGTGGGGAGGGGACGGGCGCTGCGCTGTGACCCTGGCCGTGGTGCCCCTGCAGACTGAGCGGGGCTTCCATCACCACCCGGGACAGTGGCTTCCCGAGGTCTCCATCATTAATGTTGATCATAATCGCAGTGTTACCTTAGCTGTATGTCCCATGGAAATGCTGGCGATAGCCCTGTCTGTAAGAATCCTTAATCCGGTATTTACATTTAAGCGAAATTGCCTGGAAGTCCGGAGTTTGAAGCACTGAGTCGGTGCTGTAGCGAGTGCTCGTGTTACGAAACCCCTTTCCCTGTCGTGATGGATGGAGTGCTCGGGCTGGGTTTCTCTATGGCGTTTCGTGCATGCATTAAATAGCTTGGAATTCAATTTTGTCATGTCGGGTTGGAAGAAACATCCTTTTGCAATTTTCTGTGGTCTTGAAAGGGCTTCTTTCTTTCCTTCTTTCTTTCCTTTTTTCTTCCTTTGGTGCATTCAGGCCATGAAAGGACTCAGGAGCAGAATTCCTCCAATGACTGGTAGCAATTAGCCAGCATTTAATTAACCTCTAATGTTGCAAGAAAATGAATTAATTCCCTAAAATTAATACACACGCAGTCACAAATTACTGTCTGGGCACAACCAAGGAGGCAACGCTTGACCTGGTGGTACGGAAGGAGAAGCTGGGTTGATGGCTGGGCCGCCAGCCGCGGGCTGCGTGTGGATGGTGTATGATTCTATAATGGCTGGGAGATCAATGAGAAAAATACCAATAAAATCATCCAGTTTGGCAAGCAAGTTACTTGGCTGAATAGGTCGCGCTGACCCTACTGCGGGCAGCTGGAAAACTGCGTGCTGTGTCTCACGGGTGTTTCATGGCAGCCTCGACCTCTCCCGC